AAAAAAATGTTTAGCTTAAAACAATAAATCAAGTTTGACATCGTGAAAACCCTTGAGCTTAAAAGGAAAAGATTGAAACTTTGCTTTAACAATGACGCCCTCTGCTGGAAATCTTTTGCAGATATAGCAATAAAAAAAATTCAACCACTAAGAGGCGCTGCAGTGAAATTAAGTGCATGACGTTCATATTGAGGTTATGATTTTCATCCACCTTAAGTCTTGGAGCGTTTAACTAATTATTTTACCCTGTTTGCAGTTTGTTAAACATTTTGTTTTAGGCTACACTAAATCTAATTGGATTTTTTTTCTTTATTATTTTGAGCATAATTTTATGAGGAAATTATATTATCTATATGTAATTTTTTTATGTACTCACACAAAATCCCTTTTGAACCAAAATTGTTTTGTGGTTTAGTTACAGTAGGATAACTGGTCCTCCATATAAAAATGAACATGAATGGGTAGATTGTTACAAAAACAAAATATTTTTTCTACATTTTAACTAGACCTGCAATATAAATAAGTTGGGTGTATTAATGTGCATTTTAGCAGTAATAGATTCTGTAGCAGCTTCAAGCAAATCTTGTGAAACACAGAAAACCTCCTTGGGAACACTGGTTTTCCACTGTTTGGCAAGACCCCAGTAATGAATCTCAGCTACAAAAACTCAACTAATCAACTATCAATTTTAATATACACAAAAGGTTGCATCTAATAATTGTTTAATGAACTACAGGATTGATTCAATGTTTTTATTTTCATTATACCATTCAAGGTATGTCATCTACAGGATTTTTGTGTTCTGTATTTAATCCAACAAAGAACTTCAGATTTTTTATCCATGTAACCCAAAATCTAAAATGTAAATCCAAGCAAATGTAAATATGAGGCCCCACTGCCACCTTAAATACTTGACTGTTCACAATACTTCAATTAGCAGGTTTAGTTTGAAGTCCTTAGCTAAAGCTAGATAAGTGAAAATAGTAGGTATTTATAAGCCATCTCGTATTTAATGTCTACAGTACACCGTCCAGCTTGTTTTAGATTTTGAGCACACTTCATTAGAATGAATGTATTGACAGAACATGTTAATCCATTTATTCTAATCTTTTTGGCAGTGACACAAAAAACATAATTTATTAACAGAAAGTCTAGGACTAAAAAAAAGCAACAACAAGAAAGTCAAACAAGAAAAACAAAGAAAGCTTTTAAACAAGATTTTCTTTATTAGACAGTGAGACAAGCTGGTCTATGGGCTGCCATGTTCATAGTCTTGCCTAAAACTTCTGGAACTGTTTCTTGGCTCCAGCAGCCTTAGTCACCTTGAGGACATTGAATCTCACCGTCTTACTGAGGGGTCGGCACTCTCCAACAGTCACAATGTCTCCAACTGTGACATCTCTGTAAGCAAAAAGTTGAAAAAATGATTAATTTAAACTTTAAACACAAGTAATCAACTGTTCCAACTTAAAGGGCATAAAGTAAAACTGCATCAGCGTTTGCCAAAGGCAATGTCGTCAAAGCTTCCTGAGCTTGGAAGACCATCGTGAGAAAAAGCATCATTTGCAGCTAATATGGATTCTTTGCACAGGATTAGTATTTAAACAAGCATTTCAACAAACATGGCAGACTTATTGTTATTGTTGCCTTTAAAAATACCTAAGACATCAGTTTTATAATAAGCACCAATATTAAAACAGTTCAAATCAAGAAGTAAATAATACAAGGTTAAAAACCAATATAGTGACATAATCAATAATGTTGAAGTGAGAGTGTAAAACTTGCATTACCTGAAGCACGGTGACAGATGGACAGAGAGGTTCTTGTGCCTTTTCTCAAAACGGTTGTACTTGCGGATGTAATGCAGGTAGTCACGTCTGATAACAATGGTCCTCTGCATCTTCATTTTGGTCACCACGCCTTTGGAACAAACACAGAGCTTTAGGTTTATGTCAACGCTGTAGACCTAAGTCAAGACCCCACTTCAGAGGACGATACCACTTTCACTTTTGTCTACATCAGTTTTGCCATTAGGCATTGTCGTCAGAACCCATAGGGGCTTGGAAGACCATCGTGAGAAAAGCATCATTTGTAGACTAATGACAAACGTGAAGTCAGGTATAAACGCCATCCTAAAACTGTAGCTTTTAAGGTAGAATGAATCCCATAAACATTATGACTCTGGACTTGATGTTTATTTAAAAAAGAAAGGTGAGCTAATGCCAGAATATTTTGCCTCCGTTTTTAAATACTCAAAATTTTCTACCGGCTTAAGCGACGTTTCAGACATTACTCATAGAAAGTTAGAATATTCCTAGACTGTAATAATTTAAGATTTTTATAACTTGTGTTAATTTGATTCACGTTTCACAGCTTTCAAATCAAACTGAAGGAAAAACAATATCTCAGAACTCCTTCCAAACATAGAAACTGGCTTGATTTTGAATCTACATACATTAGGAAATCCAGAAATTTCTCCACCACTCTTTCCAGAAATATTTTTTCTTTAGTTGTAAAAAATGTGGCTATCCTAGTGAAAAAAATAAGTTACAACAGCAAAAAGGCAAGAGTGCAGGTTTGCTGGAAATAATATTTTTACCTGAGAGGATACGGCCACGGATAGAGACATTCCCAGTGAAGGGGCATTTCTTGTCAATGTAAGTGCCGTCAATAGCCTGGAAAGAAGAAACAAGTAAATTGTTATTGGGGTAATCACTCAGTTAACCCACAACAATAAAAAAAAGTAACAGATATTGCATCAGTGTTGCCAAAAGGCATTGTCGTCAGAACCCGAACGGTTTGGAAGACCATCGTGAGAAAAAGCATCACTTGCAAGATTATAAACAAATACGTCCGATTTTACCAGCCTCGGAGAAGGTTTGTTACCTCTCGTGGGGTTTTGAAGCCAAGGCCGACACTCTTGTGGTAGCGGGGGATCTTCTCTTTAGCCTCTTTCCCACCGTCAACAGCCAGAACACGCTTCTTGTTCTGGAAGATTGTGGGCTGTTTCTGATAAGCCCTCTCGGTCTGCAAAAAAAAAGTGCATTTAAAAGATTTAAATTTCAGTGATAATCGCCATCCACGTTTCTTTTACACCACCACCAATGGTAACTAAATTAGCTCAACTCGACTTCCTGTTTCAGAAAATATTACCGCAGCTAATCGCTTTAGTGCCAAATAGATCACATTTAACAGTGTAAGCAATACAACTGGCACGATATTCTAGAATACTTAAGATAGCTTTACATTCTTTACTATAACCTCATCATTAGGCTAACAACGTTAGCATTCCGGCTAGTTCAGCATTACACGAGGGTGTGCAGACCGACAACAAATACCGACTCCAAACGACTAGATTTGAGTTGGAATTGGTTTACTCCATAACTTATGTCAATATTATAATGTTCATGTCATTTTAGGTGACAAATAACTTTAATAAAATGCCTATAAATCAATTTGAATTCGCCACGCCGTCTTCAACTACATACTTGAGCATCCGCCATCTTTGCCAGCCGAGTCGCGAAGAGGCCTGAGCATGCGCGTGACGGACGGAAGACGAAGGAACGCAGGAAGTTACGTTCAAGTGAAGTAATGTAAAACAGAATTTGGTATATATGACTTACATTAAGTACATAAAACAATTAAAAGTTGTGAAAAGCCTGTATTTAAAACTCCTATGATTGAATTTGTGAGTGAATCTATTTTTTATTATTAAAGATTTTCACAGCTTTTAAATTATTTCACAGCAATTAAATTATACATGAAATGTAAGCAATTTCAAATATGTATCGTCATAATTCACTAAAATACTTAACTACAAAGAAAAAATAGTTTAAGTTCATAGGTAAGATATGACAATAAGATGAGTTGAAATGATAACGTGCATGTATGTTATCATACATGTAACATACATATATGTATGAATGTTACATGTATACATGTATGCATTAGATCATTACACCATTACACTTTACAATAATCACTCAAATGAAAACAGTTCTGTAAAAAAGAAGGCTTAAAAGAAGCGTAATGCGGCCTTATATGAGATTTGAAGTTGTGATTGTACTGGTTGTAAATAATTATTTTCAAACCGGATTACATGTCCTACCCTACAGCCCATGGTTCAGCATATTGTTTCTAGTTTCCAGACCTTTTTAAACAATGTAATTAGTTTGATGTGTAATTTTTAGACTAATTTATTTTATTATTTCTTATTTCATTCATTTAATATAAAGATGCCTTTGCAATCAATCTTAAAAGACTGCCCATACCACAAGATTTCTCCACACTGACTTACCTCTTTGCACGTAAAGAGTGTGCAGAAGAAAGAAATTGCAATCAGCACAAGATCATTTACTTTTGGGTGTTTCTTTTAGTCTTTTTTTTTTTTTTTACTTTGTTGGAAAGATGTACATTACAATGAATTTGGAAAATGTCAATGGTACAACGTGTTCCAAAGAATAACAAAGTCACAGTTAGAGTTTTGTAAAATATAGTACAAGAGGGTAAATAAATAATGAATAAAAGAATACCTTCATTAGACATTTTAAATAAATCCTAAAATAAATATTCACTTTTGTATTAATATTAATAAAGTCAGTGCTTTCTTATTGTCCAGAAAGTTCCATTCTAAGCAGACAACTTAAAATCTGGGGATTTATTCAGTGAATGTCTGTCATGCATAAAATACACATGCATGTGCATATATATAGCTGTTACATATGCTTTTAACAGCTTAATTATGGTCTGGATTACAACATTTTAATTATTTATCTTTATTCTGTAAGGGTTTTTTTGTTTGATTGTTTTTGTTTTATTTGTTAATTGCACTGTATTTTTATCACATAAGCCTTTTTGAACTAAGTTGTTGATGAAATTTAGAGCACTAGTAAACATAACTTCGCAGAATATGTCGAGTATCACATTAGGAAGCCACACCTTTTCCCGGTTTTAGATCTCGCGAGTTTTTACTACATAATGTCATAAATCGACGATACTTGGCAAGTAAATGAAAAGGTCAAACTTGTATGCGGAATGTCAGAAAAAAACACCATGGCTTCGGGAGGAGAAGGAGACACTGAAGGTACAGGTTATTCGAAAATACAACTTGTAACAAACATTCTTAGCGGTGTGATATATTTCCGATAACCTTATTATGTTTAGCGGTTTATGTAGCCTACGGGAGTTGCGGGCAACTTTTGAAATGAGTATGATACTAAAATTAAAACCTCTTAACCCTCACAATACAATGGAAAAACCGCACGCGGGTGTTCCGCTTCACGCTAAGGGGGTCTAAACAAATCAAGACACATTTATGAAATTAATTAATAATTTAATTTTCAACTTAATTATGAGTTTGATTCAGCCATATCGTCATTTTGATGTTGTAACTCTTGTCTGATTCTTGTCTTTTAGGATCTTTTAAAGATGCCATAGTGAAACAGCTGATTGTGTTGTTAAAGGAGTAAGTACCACGACAGACCTTTGCATGATTACATAAAAAAGAAATAGATATGCAGAATCGAAGTGCTAGTGTTTCAAATTACGTCTTACCAAAAAATATTACAGTTATTAAATCATTTCTCTGTCGGTTGTGTTCCCTTAAGTTTGATGTTATCATTTTTCATTTAGTGCCATTTACAGTCAGATGGTACCTTCTCTCTCGTCAGATCAGTTTAGACTTTCAGTTTCCAATTCCAGAAATGTCTGTCATTGCGAGGCAGACAGATTGGCACCTTCGGCTGATGAAGGAGACTACTAGGAGGACATTTTTTTCCCTCATTAAGCTGGGACTTTTCTTTACACTGTACTGTAGGTGTTGCTGTGGGTCCATAGCCTCAGTAAATGAAAATTATTAGATACATTTTTTCTGTTTTGTTTGACATCAAGAAATGGTATAAAAAGTCTAATTAGCTTTTTTTCTTTAAACCGCTCTTTGTATCAGTACTTTTGAAAATGAATAGTGTAACAAGTTTAGGGGAGCAAAACTTGTTACACAAATGTATGAAGATCCAAGCAAAGAAAAACTGCATTGGAATTTGTAATGAGGAAGGCAGTGGGCTTGATGCTGTTAACATTTTTTTTAAAATGTGATTATTGAACAGATTCTAATAAACCATAAGCCCAGATCAACAATATTGTTATCCTGGTGCTATAAATATATGAAATGATTGTACACAGCTACTTTAATTATTTAGAACAGCTTCACAAACAAGCTGCTTTCTCTGCAATAAGTCTCATTCTGTTTGCCTGTTCTACACTCATCTCATCCTCTTCTTAGTTTCATCTGGAAGCGGATCGAAAGACGTTCACTGGGTGATGCTGAAAGGATTCGGAAAGTACTGAATGCACAACAGCCATGTACCCCACAGATGCAAAAAATCTCTGAGGGTCTCCAGGCTATTGGAGATCAAGTGGATGGAGAAGTACAACGGTGAGCTTGCCTTTCTGGTAGGGTGGTAGCTCTAATTTAAGCTCAAAAGTGGATTTTGAAAACCATAAGTTGTAGAATGACTTGTCTTTTTCTTAACCAAATATGGATTTTTCCTCCCATAGCGCAGTGGGAGATCAAACAATACGTCCCTCAATGGACAACTACATAAAAGTTGTCATCGGGATCTTTTCAGATGGTGAAATCAACTGGGGCAGGGTGGTTATAGTGTTTTCCTTTACCTGCCTATACGTTTTGAAAGTAAGTGAAGCACTTGTTCTTTTTAGGGAATTATTGCAGTCTTACACATTAGTGTTAAAAGTATTTATATTTGGTCAACTTTGAGTTTTTTAATTTTTGAAGTATTTGATCATTCTTATTTTAGAAACCAAGTTTAACTTGTGTTCTAATAGGTAACAAGTTTATTCAATTAAAATGAAATAAATAAATTCAATTAAACACTTTCCACACATCCGTACTAGGCATATGAAGACAAAGTTTATGACGTGATAAAAAACATAATCAACTGGACCATAGATTATTTCCAGAATAAGGTTGTCAATTGGATAAGAAATCAAGGTGGCTGGGTAAGAAACTCACTAACAAATCATGTTTGAGAGCATTGCTAACTGGTTGTTAATAAAAAGAAAGTTAGTAATATTCATATGTATATTTTCAGGAGGGGATTTATTCCTACATCGGCGCTCCCACATGGCAAACGGTGGCAATTTTTCTGGCTGGTGTTCTCACCACCATTTTCATCATCCACAATGCAAGACGTGCGTGAGGCGCAAACAGAAGAACTATTCAACAGTTGGCAACACCTTATTTGACGGGTCGTGAATAAGACTGTCATGACACCGTCATAAACATGACATAACGCCTGTCATGAACATGAGTAAGTCTTCATGAATATTTATGACTTGTCATAAAGTATAATTTGGTAAATCATGACACTTCTGATACAAAGTTGACTTTATTCAACTTTGTCTTCATTATAACAACTTGACGTTAACTAAGAAATCATGATCTGACATAAATTTGTTATAAAATAATTACTGATTAAACTCTAGCTTTAATAACATAAAGCTACATAATTTTTAAAAGTTTAATCAGAAATACTTTTACAACAAATTTATGTCAGATCTCGATTTCTTGGTTAATGTCAAGTTGTCATGACAAAGACATTTTGATTGATGTCAACTTTGTACTAAAAGTGTCATGATTTACTGAATGACGCGTTATGATGGTCCTAAATATTTATGAAGACTTACTTATGTTCATCACAAGTGTTATGTCATGTTTATGACGGTGTCGAGACAGTCTTATTCACAACCCATCAAATAAAGTGTTGCCCAACAGTTGAATGAGAAGATAATGGGCGTCTGCAAGTCAAGTCAAACAAGAGGAACTTGTATGCAGGGAAGGATTCCTTATCGCCCATTCGATTGTGAGTTGGACTAGAAGTGTTCCTGTTTACATGCACAAAATCAGAGGGATGGAGAGGATTTTAGAGTTAAAGGGCGATGAAAGTGAACTTAATAATTTTTAGTTGAAAAAGCAGAGTTTCAGTAGATGGCATAACATGTTGAAAATGTATTTACATTTAATTGGACTTTTGGTACTTACTAAATTTTTCTAGTAGCTAGAATATTTTTGTTTCAGAAACTATCCCTACCCAACATATTGTCAGTTCATATTTTATGGAACAGGCAGTGCTATCCACTTCAAAGTTTGTGGACACTTTATTTGAAATGTGTTGTCAATTACACCTTGTGAGTCTGTGAGTTAAGCATTTGGCTCATTATATAAATATATTACTCTTGAAAGATGTTATCTTCTAACACCCTTATTTATTTGTCCATTTTAATAGGTTGTATGAAGGACAGTTTCTGACAACACATCTACAATACTAAAATTTAGTTAGGACCATGTGAAGCACTGTTTGTTGAAATAAAAAATGTCTGAAAACCAATTTGTAGAACCTAGATTAATGTTCGAATGTGCCATATTATACATCATGCGCTCAGCTAAAGTGCTCTCAGTATGAACTTTGATGAGCTGTATTTCAAAATTTAAAACATATTTTTAAAGCATCTGCTTTAATTAAATGACCTGCAATCATCACCTTGAGTTTTCATGCATTGTTGTGTACATGTATTCATTAGATTTTTGGGATATTGGGGTTTGTTCATCTTGTATTTTTGAGTGTCATGGACTGATATTTAATGTGGCCATTGAAAGAAGTTGTGTTAAACTTCTGGTATATGTTCAACTTTATTTTTGACAAGTTCTGAGCACTTTATATTTGACTAATACAACTGTTGTAATGTTATATAGCCAGTGCCTTCTGTTTTTTTATAAGAACAGTTATTTTCCAAGGTTTCAACAATTTCTGTTTGTAAGGCTAAAAAATGCCTCAAATTCACATCATAAGTTGAAATGCAAGAAATAAATGCCTCCTTTTTAAATACTCCTTTTGTCATGTGCATCCATCACTTTGATTCTGTAATTCCTAAACCTTTTTAAGGTTGCTTTAACTTTTTGCATTGATTCAACATTAATTCCAGATTATTCAAGTGCTCATTTGATTATTTCAAATACTCAATTTTAAGGGGAAAAAGATTCTATAAATTGGGCAAAAGAATGTGAAAGCTTCTTTTAAAGACTCAAACTGTTTTTATTATTATTACATGTATACATTGAACTGAATCTATCACTGAACTTCTTATCTTTTTCAAGATTTCAAATCTTAATCAAGTGTTTCAGCTAAGGTTTACTCTTGACTCCAATGTGCTGTTTTTGTAAAATGGAAGCCAGCATTTTGTGGTAAATTTCACCTTTTCTATATGGAAAAATCACCTGATTTTACATTGGGCTTAAATTGAAGGAAGTGTAGTTTTCTTAATTTTGCTGGATTGTAAGGAAAATGTTTTAATAATACCTTTAGCTTCTCAAGTTACTCCAGACTTTCATACAACCTAAGAAGAAAAGAAGTTTGCTTCAGGTGCGACAGACTGGAAAGAGCGATCTTATCAAGTTTTTAGGCACGGACGGGAAGAAATGAAAACACAATTAACCATCTCAAGTTACTGTTTTGACACCAGCCTTCTGGAATTATTTTAACTATAAGATAACATCTGCTTTTAAAAGTGGCCTCACAATGTTGAGAATGCTGTCAAATAAAGGAAAATAAATGTGGGCAACCTTCTACAAGAAAATAAAGCATAATACTTTAACAAATAAAAAAAACAGGACAATTATCAAATACAATTAAAATATCTCATATCCTTATTCATTTAAATGTATTTACGCATTGAATGATTTGGTAAAAATGACGAAATGGCTTAAAAATAACCTTTCACCTCAATTAAAAAAAAAGACTTTATTAAATATTCCTTTCATGATTATATTCAACACATGTCTTCAGATCGACTCAGTTTTCTTTCGATAGAGCTGAATTATGACACTATGAATTGGTCAAATAAGCATTCAGCTCAGTACAAATTCAGTTCAATTTCTAATAAGATCCAATCAGACTGTCACATTTAGATAATCTTCTATACAGTACACTTTAAACTCATAATGCTACATGTTCCCCTAAGTATGACCTCTGACTAATCTCAATAATTCATGGCATATTGAAGTAAAACAGAAAACCTTTCTCACCATGCATAACATCAATTTTGAACCTCTTAGCAATCCTTGGCTGCAACTGAATGATATAAATATAAAAAAAATTTAAAAAAGAGAGAGAAGACAATAACCACAAAATAAATCATACCAGTACAGTTTATGTCTGGTTAATCTGGTTTTCTATGGTTGGCAGCATGTTGGTACCAAACAAAGAAATTAAATGTTGAGTCAAATTGTGGTTCAACAGCAAGGGTGTGGACACTGCAACTGTTGTTGTTGTTGTAGATTATATTTCATATGGTTAAAACTTGTGATAAATACGTTTCAGAATAAAAGTTGTACTTGTTTGGCCATAAACATTGTTAGTTGTGATACAGATGAGTCATTTCGCACGAAAACATTGTGTTTGTGTTTGTAGCAGCTATTGTTTAGATGATCGCGACAGAGTGACTAACCTCATAAACCTTCAGCTCTGTGCAACATGTTCACATCAGCATCAAGGAGAAGCGGAGGAGAAAAAAAGAAAAAAAATGGAAAGAAAGATGTGGTCACATGACTGTGCGGAAGTCAGAGCCGGGGAGGCAGACGAGCAAAATGGCAGAAGGAGGTGGAGGTGATCAAGGTATTGGCTGGCATCTACAATGTTTTTTTATTTATGTACGCTGTGACAGTGTTTCTAAATGTTTTGTAGGTGTAGAAGACCTTCCAGATTAGCAGTTTACTTAGGATTTTTTTGTTCCAAGTTTATCGGACTGTCGCAAAAAAACAAAACAAAAAAAACAAAAAAATACCGTTGCCTGAACTGATATTAGCTTAGCAAAATCGCTACGTCTTAGCACTGATGCTGTAGGGCTTTATGTGTTTTTTAGAGACTAACGTCAAAACATTGGTACATGGATATTCCTTTGTATTCCTCTATTCACGCCTAAAACCCAGTAATATTCAACAGGAAGCTAGAATATTTTGAATTTAAAAAGAAAATGTTGAAATTGTTTAGCTAAGCCTGACTCCTGGGGTTTAACGTGATGCTATGGTGCTCTGGAAGTCTCATCTGAAATATTTATTTAGAAGCATAGATTAAAAAACAATAATTAATAGTAGGAGTAAACAAGCCGTTGAGAGGGCTGACGCGGGTGGTTTATTTGGGATTGATATAATGAGTTTCGCTTTGGCGCTGGTGTATCAACATTTGAATGATGTGACTCATCCTGATCTTTGTTTCTCAGGAAATTCATCTGATCATATTGTGGAAGTTGGAGCTGTGTTGTTGAAGGAGTAAGTTTACGTTGCTTCTGACTTTTCGTTTTCTCCTATGACACTGGAAGTAGATGTGATTATTACGAATTGTATTTTTTTTTCTTCAGTTTAATCATTTGTCCTGTTGCAAATTATGGTGGCTTGTATTACTGTCTTCAAGTTGATAATACCATTAATCCGGGTCCTGGATGGCTCAGTTGGTAGAGCAGGTCCACCATGTAGAGATGCTACGGTCCTCAACTCAACCATACTGACTTGATGGTATTCAGTGTTTCTTATCATGAAGCAACTCAAATATTTATTTTTCGGTCCGTTTGCTTGACAAATCTGGGTGATATTAACTTCTCGGGGTTTGTTTTTTTTTTACTATGAACATTGGTCACCCAAAATAATGAGGCTTTTTGTCTGAAACTCTTTCTACTTTAGTCAAATACAGCAGAAGAATATACACAGAAGTATTAAAGATTATTTTATTAGGAGACGCTAAGCTATTTTCTATGTCTCTCCAGACATACCTGATACATTTCCACAGCATACTTCAACACGGGTCTCACAACTGGTGTTACTGAGTGTCTTAAGGACAAAAATGTTTTTAAGACGGCATCATATATGGACTGTATGAAAAAAATCAAATAGGATCCAAAAATTGTAGAGCTCTAAATTTGTTTTTCGTTATGCGATATTTCAAACATTTCATGACATGTATTCAATCTTTAAAGCATTGGCTCCCACCAACACTAATTAAGGGGTGGAGTCAACATTTACATTTACAAAAAAAAAAAAAAAAAAAATTCTACTAAACTATATTCCGAAAAAAAAATATTTGCATTACAACTAACTTCAAAACGAAAACAACCTGGGCCCAAACAAAATCCAAAACCATCTTTCTGCCCTCTGAAACAGTGAGGTTGATTGAAAACACCAGGTCCTTGTCAGCACTGCTCATGGGCGTGCTTCCATGGCAACAAATCAATCAATCAATCAAATTGTATTTGTATAGCACATTTCAGCAAGGCATTTCAAAGTGCTTTACATCATAAGCACAAGAACACAAAGTCATGCAACACATAATAGACAATACATTGTTACATATTACATTTCAAAAACAATTCTAAACAGGTGTGTTTTTAATTGCGATTTAAAAGAAGTCAGGGTTTCTGCTGTTTTACAGTTTTCTGGAAGTTTGTTCCAAATTTTTGGTGCATAGATGCTGAAAGCTGCTTCTCCTCTCAGGTTCTGGTTCTGGTTCTGGAGATGCAGAGCAGACCAGAACCGGAAGACCTGAGAGGTCTGGAAGGTTGATACAACAACAGCAGATCTTTGATGTATTGTGGTGCTACACCGTTCAGTGATTTGTACACTAACAACAGTATTTTAAAATCTATTCTTTGAGCTACAGGGAGCCAGTGGAAGGACTTTAAAACTGCTGTAATGTCTCTATCTTCCTGGTTTTAGTGAGAACGCGAGCAGCAGCGTTCTGGATCAGCTGCAGCTCTTTGATTGATTTGTTGGTCAGGCCTGTGAAGACGCTGTTACAATAATCAATGCGACTAAAGATAAACGCGTGAATGAGTTTCTCTAGATCTGACTGAGACATTAGTCCTCTAATCCTGGAGATGTTCTTCAGGTGATAGAAGCGCAACACATGACCAGGTGACCTCAAAGAGAAGAGGAAAATTATTCAAACAAAATATTAAATAAAGCAAGTTGCTTCCTCCAAACAAAAGTAATACATTTACGAGATAAATTGGAATATAGGAAGTACAAAAACCATCACCTGTTAGGGAGGGGATAAATCCCTCACATGGACATTCGTTTTACTGGCAGAACAGACGCAAACATTTCAATTCACGCCTGAGTTATGTGTAGAACACTGCTTAAAACACACCCTAAGGTTCATGAAACTGGTAACAGCTTCTCAAGAAAAAAAACAAACAATAACATGAATGCTGGGTACAGAGTGTTCAGACAGGTGAATCTAATTAGTCTCTTAGCATAATTAATAAATAACAATAACAAAAATTTTAAACATTAGTCTAATTACAGTTTCATCGTACTTTAATAAAACTGCTGTAATTATATTCATAAGTGTGATTAATTTGCACTGAGTTCTGATGTATACTTTTATATTATTCTCTAATAGGAAGTCAATATGTGGCAAGTTCTTTTTATTCTTCAAAATAGTGTAAAATGTGCCACCAGACATTGGGTGCTAGCAGACGCCCAATATGATTGACCTTTTAATGCTGGATTTTATTTAGGACTGAAGTCGGTGTAAATTAACAAACACTTGTAGATTCTTGACACTGTACTCTTTCAGTTTTAGACCAACTTTTTAGCTTCTTTTGACATCTGGACCTGAAGCATTGTTTTTCAAGGTCTATAGTGGTTTATTTGGGTGGGAGATCATTTTAAAGTCATTCTACCTGTCTTGTACATAGCCTGTTGCCTTAGAGCCACTGCTGATCAAACTGCTTTTTATTTTATTTTAGTGGCTTTATAATATATTATTGTGTTATAAATTCTGTCAACGGGTCTGGGACTGCAGATCAAACATTTTTCTGTTTTGCCCGAGTAGCT